GAATTAAAGCTAAGACCTTTCCCTACAATCCAATGATTTCATTTCATTGATATGTAACGTTACCATAGAGGAACGATTGGGGTGTCCCACATCATATGATTTACAAACATAGTCGATCACATATATAAATTTTTATTAAGAAGGATTTTTCATTGATCTTTTTTTTAATAGTAAACTTTGAACGAAAATAACTCTTTAAAGAACAGAGGTACAGATTCCAAATTAAGTTTAAAATATATTAAAAGGATAGGGAAATGTCCTATAGAGAGTTTTTTTTGATTTAATATAAATCATATCACTTATTCTAAGCTAAAAGAAAAAAAGGAAAGTTATGTATATATGATACAAAATTTTATGCAAATAAAATTGTAAAAGGCTCTCTATACACCTAAACAGCATCAAAATGTGAATCCAAACCATGTCATTTTATTTAGATACGTCATATAGTTTAAGAGTTATTTCGATTTTTGTAATCTTGCGAATATATTTTGAGTAAATTTTAGTGCTACACCTAAATTTTATAATTTAAACAATTTACAGCCGTTAAAAATATTATTATACAATTTCTCGTAACTTCTTTATTTATAATAATAATTATTCTAATCAAAGTTGTGTTTTGTTATTATATTTTGAACTGCTAGTAAAGTAATTTTTAAAATTTTTTTGTAGCACCAAAATAATAATAATAAATCCGCAAAACCCCTAAAAAATCCTTATTAATGAAAATTTATATATGTGATCGACTATGTTTGTAAATCATATGATGTGGGACACCCCAAGGAACAATGCATCAAAGTTCACGAACTTACTATGTTAACCACTCAAATGGCGTGTTACACGAAAAAAATTAAATTAAAAATGAACGAATTGGAAGAATTGAATTTTTGAATTTTTATGGCCGATCTTATCACGTGATAATAATAATAATGAATAGTGATGGGCGGGTTTATAACAACCTAGTTTATACCCTGTTATATACCCGATATATACCATGTTATATACCATTACTGCTTTTATACCATGTTTATACCATGGTTGTACAAAATAATAAATTTTTTTAAATGACCACAGCATTTTATTGTTAAAAAGTCACAAGAAAGAAAAAATAACAATAACAAGCAAGAATTATATAGCTTCTTGTAATTATTGTCAACATGCTTTTGATGAATGACCTCTTTCCATGATTAAACATTTACTTTATTGTAATAGCACACCAAATGAATTAAAAAATAAAACTAAAAGGAAAGATTTTGATAATATTCATGGAAAAAATAAACAAAAGTCATGGAAGGGTTCATGATAAATGCCCAATTAAAGAAAAAGAAGGATTAGACAATTTATCTCTAGCAATTTTTGGTAGTGGTCTCCCCTTATCAATTGTAGAAAATCAGTATTTTATCAATTTTTGTAAAAAACACATCCTGCTTATGAATTACCATCTAGAAAAACACTCACTGTCAAATTGTTAAATGATAAATATAATGAAATTATTGAAAATAATAATAATCAAATTGAAAAATCAAAATATGTCTGTATAACAAGTGATGGTTGGATTTAAGGTTGTGGGCGAAACCTCTTAATGACTGTTGAAACTCTGTTGAAACTCTAATGAACAATTAATGTGTAACCTGTCGAAACTATGATGATTGGTGAAAACCCCAAATGCGAAACTCTGCCAAAACTCTAATAAACAATTAATGTGTAACCTGCTGAAACTCTGTCGATTGATTTCTGGAGGAGTTTCTCCTGCAACCTTAGTTGGATTTCATGGTTACTTTATCAAAATCACTATTTTGGGAAGCATTTAAAAATGAAGAAATTGACAATGACTTGGATTTCAATTATAATGACTATAATTATGATGGTGAAAATTATGATGATGATAATGATTTTGATGAATTTATTAATTTAGAAGATAGTAGTAGCAATCAAGAATCTATGAAGATATATAACATAAGTTTATTGCAATTAGTATTTCTTATAAATAAATATTCAAACCAAAATTGTTATTTTATTGAATATTACATATTAGTGGTATATACCCTACTAAAAAATTACACAAGAAATCAATTGTGGTATATACCATGGTATATACCGGGTATAAATATGGTATATACCCCTCAAATTATTTATAACATGTTATATACCATCCCTAATAATGAAATTACAACTGACGCAAGATCAAAAATTTATCTATTTTAGCATCATTTTGACATTAAAATTAAGTTGGTTTGGATTGTGTCTTCATCGCAAAGAGCAAAAATCACATCACTTTGGTCAAGACAATAGTTTATTATTAAATTTGAAACATGTAAAACAATCATTCCACATTTTTTTGTAAAAAAATTCTCTTGGACCATTCTAAGTCTTCATAAATATTCTTTAGTGTCATATACATATTCTCAAAATTAGCAATGGATGCGAAGCATCCTAGTGTCCTATTGTGCATTCATGATCAATGATGCTATTTTTAATAAAATAGACTATTTCGTAGCCAAATGGTATATACATTGATTGAGTAGTCTAATAAAACATATAAATAAACCACTACTCCAAAAAACGAGCACCAGTTTTGCTTTTTACGTTGTATTCTTTAATAAAATAGACCATTTTGTGGCCAAATGATCCATTGGTCAAGTAGTCTAATAAATTACTACAAAACATATAAACAAACCCGCTATCCACTTGTGGACAAAAAAATCACAAAAAAACGAGCACTAGTTTTGCTTTTTACATTGTATTCTTTAATAAAATAGACCATTTTGTGGCCAAATGATCCATTGGTCAAGTAGTCTAATAAATTACTACATAAACATATAAATAGACCTGCTACCCCACTTGTAGATCAAAATTGCAAAAAAGAGTGGATCAGATTTGCTTTTACGTTGCATTCAAATGTGAGGGTTAAAGAATACTCTACATTATTATCCATTTGTTGAGAAAAAATTTATTTATATTTATTTAATGATTAAAGAGTCATTACATGAATAATAAAAAAATTATAAAGAATTTAATAAAAGTCTAATTCCATTTGAGATATAGATGGCCAAAAAGATGTAATTTTCTTGATGGATGTATGTAATTGATGAAAATAAGCATGTATATCATCATTTATATAATAATGATAATAGTATAGTGCCGGTCACAAGTACACATCCAATAAAAATTGCCTTTCTAAGAAATGATATTCAGCAAAATAGAAA